AAAAAAAAAAAAAAAAGACAACGTTGAAAATTATTTAAACCATAGTACTAATGTGCACTTTCTACAAGCCATGAAAGCTAATACATAATCACAGTATTCTACTGCTTAAAGTAAGCTTAGCTTTTAATTCATTTTCTTTTTTTTTTTTAATTCACCTCCATCCCTAAATGCCCCAACATTTATTTTTGTATACTTACTCACTAAGCTGAGGAAAATTTTTATATACCAAAAACATAACAAAAGCTGCAGACAGGAAAATGGACACCAATATAAGCAGTGACATTCTTGCTGACCCAGCTTCTGCCTGAGCTTTTTCTGAAAAGGAAATATAAATAACAAACATATAAATGTAAATATAAAGGAAAACAGTACTTCAAATCAATAAGTACCCCAAGAACTACCACCAAGGAACAGCAGAGTTAAACGGGACTTGGTCAGTAGAGTAAGTGCTTGCCTGGCAAGTTCAAGGTCATGAGTTCAATCCCCAGTACCACCAAAAAATAAAAAATAAAAAAATAAACGGGACTTGGTTTATGGGAAAAGCAAGATTACTGGGTTGGAGTGATGAAAGTAAGATTCAGAGTAGGTGGAAACTTAGCTGAATGTTAAAAGGTGGGTAAAGAGTAAGCCTTCTCCCTGTACTGTATGTAAGTACCTCCCTGAGGATTTAAACAAGCAATGTGCTCTTAAAAATTAACACATTTAGAAAAAAAAAAAAAAAAAAAGTAGGTACTTTAATCCCCTGAGCTACCTGGTCCACCCTACACAGATTCTTAGGGCTGGGAAAATGGTTCAGTAGAGTAAGGGCTTCCCTGGCAAGCACAAGGGCCTAAATTCAATCCCCTGTTCTGCCAAATAAATAAATAACACATTTAGCATGTTAGCTCTAAAATTAAATGACTTTTTCTTTCTTTTTTTTTCTTTGTTTTTTTGAGACAGGGTATCACTATGCAGTTCAGGCTGGCCTTAAGCTCACTTTGCAACCCAGGCTGGTCTCAAACTGACAATAATCCTCTGTCTCAGTCTCCCAAAGTGCTGGGATTACAGGTGTATGCCACCACACCCAGCCAACAAATTATTTTGTATTAATTATAAACTTGCCATTCTTAAAATTAGACAGGAAAAAGGACCAGGCAATGTTTAACTGAACTGTAGAACATTAACTATCCTGAGTTTTCCTGTTGTGCAGGTCATTATAATGGCTACTTGTCTTGCAGTTAGTTGGATGGTGAAATATACAGGCATCAAAACAAAATTAATAAATTAATAACTTCTGTCCCTGTCTGGGACAGAAACTTTCTTTCCCCCAATAAATATTCTGCTCTTAAAAAAAAAATAAAAAGGGGCCTGGGAGATGACTCAGTAGAACAAGCGCTTGCCTGGCAAGCACAAGGGCCTGAGTTCAATCCCCGGTTCCACCAATAAATAAACAAAAACGTAAAAATAAAAATAAAATTAGGCAAAGTTTTTCAAGCACTGTGTTCAATAGCACCACAAAAAGACAACTGAGGGCCAGGGAGATAGCTCAGTAGAATAAGTGCTTGCCTGGAAAGCACAAGGTCCTGAGTTCAAACCCCGGTTCCGAAAATAAATAAATAAAATAAAAAAGACAACTGAAAAAATGCGAAGAGGCAGCCTTGTGGTACACACTGAAATCCTAGCACTTGGGAGACTGAGGCTGAAGATTATTGCCAGTTTGAGACCAGCCTGGGATACAAAGTGAGCTTCAGGCCAGCCTGAACTGCATAGCAAGACCCTGTCTCAAAAAGACAAAAAAAAAAAAAAAAAAAAAAAAACCCTGCATGATATTCAATTTTGAGGCTCTCTTTTCTCTCATACAAACTAGAAAATGGGAAACACGGGCAATTACAACACTCCCTCCATATAATTCTAATATACCCAGGGATTAGTATGTAATTCATTTACAGTTCTGAACATACATGAAAGTTCTAAATCATTTTTTTTTAAATTTTTTTTTATTTTAACATTTAGTGTGTGTGTGTGTGTGTGTGTGTGTGTGTCCAGCTCAGCCCACCAGGGGGCAGGGCTGGCTGGCATGTGGTGCTGGGGGATTGAACCGCGGTCCCTGTGCTTTGCCAAGCTTGTTCCAAGTAGGTGCTTTAGACCACTGAGCCATCTCTCCAGCCCCATCATTTTTAAATTAGATTTTTATTGGTACATTTTAAATATACATATCACATTCATCAGAGAATTTTATCTGTATATAAAAAAGTTCTAAATCTTTTTAAAACTTACAACTAAATTTGAGGTATACATTTATAACGCTCCTTGTTATAGCACTAGATGATGTGCCTTTAGCATCACAACTACTTATAACTTATTAACTTCCAAATGTTCTAGCATACTAATGCCTAGTCTGAATTACCCGATTAATTGCTTTCAGCCTCTTCCCTTGGTACTGTAAGAAAAAGTCAAAACTGTGCCCCTTCTACCTACAAGTTCACACTGTTGCTCGCTTCCATCAAGGTGATCACTGATAAAACATTTATCCTTTTATATCCCTCTCCAAAAAGATTACTTAGCCACCAGAAGTAGTGACATACATCTATAATTCCAACATTCGAGAAACTGAGTTCAAGGCTAGACTGCCTCCAATAAATACATACATTCATATGCACTTCAACTCCCTTCAAGCCTTCAGTTTAGTGAGCTCCCCAATGTCTACCTCAAGATCTGTTCATACATTTATCTTCCCTTACCCTTTCCCCTTATCTTTTCATTAAATGTTACACATTTCCCTTTAGATCTTGCTCTTTAAATTTTCTTTCCCCAACACCTTCAATGTTTTTCTGTTTACAAGTACCTCTTCTCTAAGATAAATCCATTCTGGAAAAAAAACAGAAATTAACCCTAACAATCCTCTAGTACTGTCTTCAACCTTACTGCTTTCATATAAATATCTTTCAGACAGCAAAAAGTTAGGGCCGGCCAAGTAGCTCAGCAGATGTACTGAGATGTACTGCTCAACTACTGAGGCAGACTCAGGGGCCAGGAGTTCAATTCCCAAGACCGCAATTGAGACTGGGCATAGTGGCCCGAAATCCCAGTGCTATAAACAGGCATACCACTGAATCACTACAAGTCAGATCCATGCAGTGAGACTCTGTACACTCTATCCTAAATACAAAAAAAAAAAAAAAAAAAAGCAAAATGTTATAATATCTACAAAATCTTAGGAATTACTCTTAGTGGTTATCCAGTCCACTTGTTCTCAACATTGAGTGTTTTCTAATCTACTTGTTCCCATCATGAAAGAAAGACCCATTTCTCTTGAGGACATCAGACTACAGAACAAGACTTTTAAAGTGCCAAAATGTCAGACTGACAAACTACTTGAAGGGCTTTAAAGCTTAAAAAAATCATTGACTTGAAAATGGTTGTATAAGGGCCAGGCAGATGGCTCAGTGGATTAAAGCGCCTGCTTCAGACGCAGGGACCAGGGTTCCATGCCCCATGTGCTGTGCCTGCCAGCCCTGCCCCAGGGAGACTCCCAGGGGAACTTGGAGACTGTGACCAATACTGGGTGTGGTGGCACTTGCCTATAATCACAGCACTTGGGAGGCTGAAAACAAAAGGATCACTATGAGTCCAATTTGTGTAGTGAAACCCTGTGGACTCTGTACTAAATTAAAAAATAAGATAAAAAAGAAAAAGAACAACAACAACAAAAAAAAAATGGTAGTATAATGTCACCAAGTTAAAGTAGCTAAAAAGAAAACAACTTTTTAAAAAACACATTTATAGGAAGCAGAAGCAGCACTTTCAAACTCAGGAGAACTCACTCTCCAAATCCTATGGAGATAGCTCAGTAGAATAAGTGCCTGCCTGACAAGTTAAAGGTCATGAGTTCAATCCCCAGTACTGCCAAAAAAAAAAAAAAA